ACCAAGCAAGTGAAAGACCTGTATGACAAGAACTTCAAGTCTCTGAAGAAAGAAATCAAAGAAGATCTGAGAAGATGGAAAGATCTCCCATGCTCATGGATTGGCAGAAATAATAGAGTAAAAATGGCCATCTTGCCAAAAGCAATCTACAGATTCAATGCAATCCCCATTAAAATCCCAACTCAATTCTTCACAGAGTTAGAAAAGGAAATTCTCAAATTCATATGGAATAACAAAAAACCCAGGATAGCAAAAACTAGTCTCAACAATAAAAGAACTTCTGGAGGAATCACCATCCCTGACCTCAAGCTGTACTACAGAGCAATAGTGATAAAAACTACCTGGTATTGGTACAGAGACAGGCAGGAAGATCAATGGAATAGAATTGAAGACCCAGAAATGAACCCACACTCCTATGGTCACTTGATCTTTGACAAAGGAGCTAAAACTGTCCAGTGGAAAAAGGACAGCATTTTCAACAAATGGTGCTGGTTCAACTGGAGGACAACATGTAGAAGAATGAAAATTGATCCATTCTTATCCCCTTGTACAAAGCTCAAGTCCAAGTGGATAAAGGACCTCCACATAAAACCAGATACACTGAAACTAATAGAAGAGAAGGTGGGGAAGAGCCTTGAATACTTGGGCACAGGGGAAAAGTTCCTGAACAGAACTCCAATGGCATATGCTCTAAGATCAAGAATTGACAAATGGGACTTCATAAAATTGCAAAGTTTCTGTAAGGCAAAGGACACTGTCAATAGGACAAAACGACAACCAATAATTTGGGAAAAGATCTTTACCAATCCTTCATCTGATAGAGGGCTAATATCCAATATATACAAAGAACTCAAGAAATTAGACTCCAGACAACCAAATTACCCTGTTAAAAAATGGGGTATAGAGCTTAACAGAGAATTTTCAACGGAAGAAACTCGAATGGCCGAGAAGCACCTAAAGAAATGTTCAGCATCCTTAGTCCTGGGGAAATGCAAATCAAAACAACCCGAGATTCCATCTCACACCAGTCAGAATAGCTAAGATTAAAAACTCAGGTGATAGTAGATGCTGGCGAGGGTGTGGAGAAAGAGGAACACTCCTCCATTGTTGGTGGGACTGCAAGATGGTGCAACCACTTTGGAAATCAGTCTGGCAGTTCCTCAGAAAATTGGACATAGCTTTACCTGAGGATCCAGCTATACCACTCCTAGGCATATACCCAGAAGATGCTCAAACATATAACAAGGACATATGCTCAACTATGTTCATAGCAGCCTTGTTTATAATAGCCAGAAGCTGGAAAGAACCCAGATGTCCTTCAACTGAGGAATGGATTCAAAAAATGTGGTATATTTACACAATGGAGTATTACTCAGCTATTAAAAACAATGAATTTGAGAGGTTCCTAGGTAAATGGATGGAACTAGAAATTATCATCCTGAGTGAGGTAAGCCAATCACAAAAGAAAACACATGGTATTCACTCACTGATTATTTGATATTAGCCCAGAACCTTGAAATGCCCAAGATGCAACTCACAGGCCACATGAAGCCCATAAAGAAGGAAAACCAAGTGGGGCGTGATTCGGTCCTTCTTAGAAGGAGCAACAAAATACTCAAGGGAGCAAATATGGAGACAAAGTGAGGGACAGAAACTGAAAGAGGGGCCGTCTCAAGACCACTTCACCTGAGTATCTATCCCATGTGCAATCACCAAAGGTAAATGCTGATGTGGAAGTCAGGAAGTGCATGCTGATAAGAGCCTGATATGGATATCTCCTCAGAGGTCTTCAAGAGTCTGACATACCCAGAGGCAGATGCTCACAACTAGCCATTGAACTGATCATGGGGTTCTCAATAGAGGAGTTAGAGTGAAGACTGAAGGAAAGCTGAAAGGATTTGCGGCACCATGAGGAGAGCAACAATACCAACCAACAACAGCTCCCAGGGTCTAAACCACCAGCCTGGGAGCACTTAGGGAGGGATCCAGAGCTTCAGTTGAATATGTAAGAGTGGAGGGCCCTGCTGGGCATAGGTGGAAGAAGAGAACCTTGACTGCATGAAGGCTGGATGCCCCAGGGGCTGGGAATTTTGAGGGTGGGGAGGTGGGAGTGTGGGGGGAGTAGATAGAGGTTACATCCACAGAGAAGGAGGAGGAGGGGTGAAGGGATTGGGGGTTCCTGGGTGGGTGGGGGATGGGGTAAGGGGACAACATAGGAAATGTAAATAAAACATCCAATAAAAATTTAAAAAAAAAATTATTAATATTAAATAACAAAAAAAAAAAAAAGAAAAAAGAAAATTGGCCAGGAGTGTTTGTACACACTTATAATTTTAGTACTCAAGTAGAAAAGAGAAACAAGATCACAATATCAAGGATAGGCTATATAAACACTCTTTATCAAATAAAAATAATAAAAGATTATTAATTCTAATTTACTGGCCTTCTGTCTACCATTAAGCCAGCTAGTCTAATTAACACTGAAATATGAGGTTCATTAGAAAACTTACAAAAGTCACATATGTAATCTTTTCTAGGCCTCACTTATAAACTAAGGAGAAAAACGTATTATTTCTTTCCTAGCTCTTAAGGCTAGGGTTCTATAACTTCTATTATTTGTTTATTAATGTTGAATTCACTACGAAACTTGTCATTCCTTCTTCTCTAAACACCCTTACTATGCAGTTCAAAATGATTGGGTCATAAGATATTGTGATTAACAGGAATATTCTATCAAGCTATTTTATGAATGAAAGAAAGAAAGGAAGGAAGGAAGGAAGGAAGGAAGGAAGGAAGGAAGGAAGGAAGGAAGGAAGGAAGGAAGGAAGAACAAGGTTTAAAAACAATAGGGATTTGTGTAGAATGTACAATAAGACATGGAAAGAGTAGAATTCCATCAGTTCACCTGTGGATATTTTTTCGAATTTAGCTTGCTGTAAACCTCCAACTTTCTGTTATTAAACTAATTAAACTATAATAATTACCCTTTGCTGAGGGGCATCAATTTGATCTCTAAGGCCTGAGTGTATGCTTATATTTCTAACCCTTTCACAGTAATATACTGAAAAAGCAAGAAATTTGAGAGGGGGTCAGTTTAAAGTGGTTCAGAAAGAGAAAAAAAGAGGAGAAAGGGAAAAGAAACCAATATAGGAGAAAGAAGAGTTGGGTGAAACTCTTATGAATTTTCTCAATAAATACTATCTCTTTGAAACTCTACTTTTTATCAATGAGACAGACATATAGAATTGCTGAAGGCCAGGTGTTCTATAAAATGGTACTAGTCAAGTATGGATATTATCAAATGAATCGTGATTTATAACGTGTCAAGCCATACGGTCAGTTGACATAATTAAATAGTATTTACTAGCAACAGTTTGTTAGCATACTTACAAGACTTATCTGTTAATTTTACTCCAGCAACTCATTAGGAAAATGCAGAAGAGGCTAATTTTGTCCTAAATGATAATTAAAAAAATTTACAAATTCTATCTAAATTTTTACCAGTTCTTAACTCAATAACTTTAGTATAGAAAAAAAGAATAGAATAAAATAAGGAAAAAAATCAAGTAGGGCAGATGCATAATTTTTTATTAAATGTGAATTTAGTTCAGTCTTATGACTTCAAATTTAGACAAATCCATCGCAAAACAAAAATAAATGTTGAAATAAATATTATTTGTTAGTTATCTGTTAATGGGTTATTATTATTTGTTAGTATGTAAGGATGACGCTTCAATTTTTAACTGGTACTAAATCTTACATCAAGTTTATACATGAAGAACTAGCACTAACAGAAATAATTAATACCAAGGAATACCCTGAATTCCTTATATATAATTTTGTTAGCATATGACTGGCAATTTCCAAACCAATTTCCTAGTTTAACTGACAGGGACTCTGTAATTCTTGTCATCTGTGGAAAAAAGGAACAGACAAGAGGCAATATCATTTGGGGGAAAAAACAACAACAACAAAAAAAAAAAAAAAAAAAAAAAAAACCCCAGGCAGTTAGAAGTTTCTGATTTTCTAGTTAAATCATCTAGATTTAACTGATATTATTAATGTTAATTCCAAGTTCCCAAAATTGCTACTTTACAGAAGTTTCAAGATTCATATAATTATTATTTAAAAAAAAAAAATCCTACAGTGTCACACAAGACACTGAGTGACTTAGAACTCCAAAGTCTTACTGATAAACACAGACTACTAACCTTTCCTTGTCATATAAAGTTCACAATACAACTCTGAGTTGTATTACACATAACGGAATTTGATGAGCACCTCTTACTCTTTTACAATGCAGATTTATTGTATGATTTCTTCCTATTACACCTACTTCCACCTTAACACTGTATAAAACAATACCATTTGTCATGTGTTCCAATCTTTGAAAACAAATCTTTTCTTCTTAATAGAAACATATAAGGCTGGCTTTCAAGATTTAGAAAATCCACTCCTTTTGTTTGCTTTGTACCTGTCTGTGTGTGCAAGTGTATGCATGCATGCAGGTATGTATGTAAATGCCAAAGGGGAAAATATATGTGTGGAGGTCAGAGAACATCAAGCAACAGTCTTTGTTTTCTACCTACTGAGACAGGGTCTAGTTATTTCTCAGTTTGTATTTGAGATTAGCCTCTGAGGATTCTTCTGTCTTTACTATCTTGCTTTAGGAAGTACTATTACAAATGGAACTACCATATCCTGCTTTACATTGTGTTCAGAAAATCCAAGCTTAAGTTCTCATGTTTGCACAACAAATGCTTTAGTCATTGAGTCATCTCCCCAGTACTAGAAAATCTATTCTTATTCAAAAATAATTATCATTAAACAACCAGGGTACCAGTATTTTTGGTAAGTAGCAACAAAGGTGTAGTAATATAGATCAGAAATGTTAACATGATCCTATCTTTTTTTTTTCAAAATTATAAAATAAATACACTGAAATATATCACTTTATAAATTTTAGTTTAATTCCAATTTTAAATAATAGTCAAACTTACCCGGACCAGTGCATCATCTATAATATGGTCACGTCTGACTTTGAGTCTCAAATATGGATTCAACTGCTGCCCTTGAACTAGACTGTAAAGAACAGTGATTCTTCTTTCACTGTACATGCGAATTCTATTGTCATAATATAATCCCAGATTCTTTGTGACAGCATTCAATATAAAGGGACATGTCATAAAAGAGAATTTGTTCTCTGTTTCAACTTTGAAAAATGTATAATCTTTGTCCATTTCTAGAACATCATTCAGTGGTTCATTAATGAATTCTTCAAAGGAAATAAGTGGTTTTCGACAGTCTAGAGTTTTAACGCCAAGTTCGGTTTCTAGTGGATCCACTCGAGGACCTTTCTTATTTCTTCTTTCATCTCCCAGAAGCTCCTGAAGTGTTAATTCACTGGACTCAGGTATGGGCTCTTCATCATCTTCCTCATTATGATTTGTGTCCACGTCCCCTCCCACTACATTTGCATAATAAATCATTTTCAAACACTTTGAAGCAGCAACAATGGAATCATCATCATTCACTAGATTTCGGCTATTAAATTCATTGCTTATGACTTTGTAGGTAATAAGTTGCTGAAATGTTTCCATCATTCTCCGAATCTGGTCGGCACTGTATTTAGACCATAGCCTAATCAGTTTTCCTTGAGCTTCAAGGGGTAGCTTACACATAGCTTTGCAAAATGATGGCAATGCCATTTCCAGATATTCAGGACTGTGGAGATTGCTATTCTCCATTACAATAATGACCACATTGATATAATTAGGATCTTTTTCATATGCACTCTGGTATGCCAAATCACATTCCATGTTAGGTGACAGATAGACAATTGCATTCAGGAAGGCAGTTTCTAGTTTTTCATCAGGGAGCAAATTGCTGTAGACCCTTCTAATAGCATCAATATCCAAAGTCACATCATCAGGACCTAATTTTTGTACATTGTTGTTTCCCTGTGAGCTATCACCCATCGTTGAAGAAGATGCTTCTGAGTCTTCTTCCATAGCAGCAGCAGAACACGCAGCTTTTTCCTTTTCATCTTCATCCTTGTCTTCATCCTTTTCTTGAAGTGATTTCAATTCCTCCTTAGTGTGTTGTTTGACTTTCCGAAAGCTCTTAACCAGTGCATCAGGACTAGAAAATATTCTTCCAATGACACGAATTATAGGGGTGTAATCACCCTTCTTTCTACAAAATTCATAAATTTCATATATTTTCTCTTCAGTTAGGTACATCACCTCTAGAAAATGGAAAGAAAAATAACATTTATTGTTGTAATATACATGTTTATTTTGTTATAATAATTTCTAGTGAAAAAGTAAATATCTAAACATTCTGGGCTTGATTTAGAATTTTTAAAAAATGTAATTTACTTATTAACACCCTAGAGTTACCAGCTCCTTTTTCATTCAAGTAATCCCAACATCATCACCCTTTCTTTCCATTTATTCAACAATATATAATTATTAATTATGCACTGATAATTAAGACTTGCCTTCTAACCAAGACATATATATATACTGGTACGTAACATTAATTGTAGGTATGAACAAATACATACATTTACTTATGATTTCATCACTGTACTTTATTACAACCTTAACAAAAAGCTACTACACTAATATCCTGAAATCATTTTCTTTTGTACTGTCCTCAAAAGAGTAAGGAGGCAAAGTTTTATAAAAAGGTTTCCACAGCCCATTTATTTGCAACCAATTCTTTCTATATTTTTGTACATACCAAAACCAAACTGACTCATCTCATGTATTTATTCGAGAGTTTCCATTCTGAGGCTGAGTAAAAGATATTACACATGTAAACTCTGCCGAAGTTAAAACTGCTACTACACCTAATACTACCTATGACCATTACTCGGGTTGTAATAACTCTTAACAGAGCAACTGGAAATTATTATAGTCATTTAAAAACAAACAAAAGAGAAAAAGCTAAGAAAGCAAAGACCAAAACTTGTATTGGCTTCTCACCATTAGGGAAAATGTCACTATCAACAAAGGCTTTACCATTTCAGGTTAACATATTTTATCTTATTGAAAAAAGATGGCATTTTATATACTAAAGTTTTAGAAATTAATATTATTTATCAAATAATAATGCTGAAGCCAAACAATCTTTTTCATCAAAGAGTAACATACTATAATTATTAAATCAAGCATTTAAGGTAGGATAATTCTATACTTACACTGACAATATACCCCATACATTGACAATATATCTAATATGTAAAATCTTTATTATGATTGCTACATATTATTAAAGGTACCTATTCAACTGTAAGAGATAATATGAAATTCAAGTCCAAATTGATGGAATGGCTTCCAAAATTTAAACCACAAAGCACTAAACTGTATAATCTGGGTATTAATAAACAAGTAAGTAAAGAGACATTTTTTTTTTAAGATTCACGTGTACATTCTAATATATGTGTTCTTGAAAATTGTTCGAGACATGGTTTCACACAGTATAAACAGACAGAACTGGCATCAACATGGTCCTTCCTTAGCTTCCTGAGTATCTGGACTACAATGCCACTAAGCTCAGCTCAAAAACATTCTTAAAGTGTAACATATTACTCTAAACAGTTTCATGCAAGAACAGTTGTGATAAACCAATTGATACCTACAAATCTAATTAAATTGAACAAATATAATTCTCAAAATGAGAGTAGAAGCATAATTAAGCATATATAATTCCTAACTCAAAAATATTAAAGTAAATAAGTAAAGGCAATAAAATTTAGAGTGATCAGCAAAAGCAAGAACCCATAAAAAAGGAACACACATACCCTAAGACAAGGCAAACATACCCACTATATACTAGATTTTCCCACAGTTAGTTGCATTCAACTATGGTGGGATAGTATATTTCATTTACTGTTACTCTGTGATGTCCACTTTATGGTGTAATTTGAGCCAATGCAGCTTCCACATTCAAAATATTGACAGCATTCAACTACTTATCTACAATGTGAACAAATTCATGAAATAGTACTGGCTATATATTTTTGAGTAGCAAAACTGATAATTTTGTTCTGATTTTTCTTTAGTTCTATTGTGAAGGTAACAGAATGAAGTTGTAATATAATTTTATTTCACTAATTCATTCAAACATGTTTCAAATGATAGTGGGGCTAATCCCTGGCAATCTGAAAGATTGAATTACCTTAATGCTAGTTGAAAATTACTTCCTTTAAGAGAAAAAATAGATTGAAAAAACATCAGAGACAATAGGAAGTTTTAAAAGTTTTCAAAATACAGGACTATTTTTAAATGACTAGATGCATTGGGGACATAGTTCAGTTGGTTAGTGCTTATCTTTCATTTATGAAGCCATCCTTAATACAACAGAAAACAAGTATGGAGGTATAAACCTTTAATTTCATTACTGGGGAAGTAGAAGCAGGAGTATTAAAAGTACAAGAACAGTGTCCCCTAACTTGCACAAAACAAAACGAAACAAAACCCACAAGACCTAAGTAGAGACTACTACTGGTAGGTTAGGTTCCTAAGATGCATGAGGATATCTAATTCCTATGGTAGAGAGAGCAGTATAAAAGTAGAAAATGTTAGAAGGAAAAAAATATATTTTTCAGATAATTATTGCAAAATTTTACCTGTTTTCTAAGAAAAGGAAAACAAAGACTACATTATACCTTATATTTGTATTTCTCCTTCTTTTACCACAGTTCCTGGAGTTCTGGAGCCAATACAAGGTATTTACTGCAAATGTAATATATGTAGTGACCTAATAAGGTATTAGCTACAATACAAATCATTACAAATTGAGTTCAACTCATTATCATATTAATTTTTAGAGTATAATCTGCTTCTGACTGACAACTGCTGAATCAGTAAATGTAAAAATAAAACGTAAATTAACTAACTACCTGACCTTTACCACACTTTACGAAAAATAGTGGCTCTAACTATACTTTGAGTTGAGTCATAAAAGGCAAAAAAACCAAAAACAAAAAACAAAAACCCAAAAAACAAAAACCCAAAAAACAAAAAGAAAACAAAAGCAACACGTTTTAAATCTCTGATATAGCTTTCAATTAGCCATTTTGAACTTAAATATAATCTCTTACCTTTAAATTCTTCTTTCTTGTCCATTTTTATCTCTGAGTTGTTAGATGCGCCTTTTGAGTTTTCAAGGTAAGCTGAGCTTGCTCCTTTCTTGGAGGGATGAGGATCACAGAGTTTTGCATTAATTTTATAAAGCTCAAGGGCTTTAATAGCTGCTGCATTGTTATCCATACGAAGAAAAGTTGGACAGGAAGCACAAAACTCATTCGTGCAGGCCTCATTTCCACAGCCCTCAGTTAACTGATGGTAGTAGCGTTCTATTAGATGCTTTGCAGCTGCTCGCTTCCTGTACCAGACATTCAAACAATAAGCATAGTGATTAGTACAGCTCAGAAACAAAGCCCAAGAGATAAGGCAAAAGTTAGCTAAGCAATAAAGCAATAAACTAAATATTACATGTAGAAACTGGAAATTCACTATTATCTCCCAAAGTGTTAATTAGTCAAATAATAAACACTTTCTAAAAAACTGTGATAAAGTTATGTCAGCTTATAATATTATTTTAATATGGTAGGCTTTTCTTCGGTTTAAAAAAGATAAGCTTAAGTTGATGGTGTATGATCCTTCAACTGTTTAGCAGAACAACAACAAAGACAATAAAAACATTGAGTGCATCACTATGTTACATCTCCATGGCAATTTTCCTTTTCAATATATATAAAATCACTAATTCTTTCTAATAGTTCCAAATACTTCATTTCCAGCTAACATCAAATTTCTAGAGTTTAAATTTTTTTCTCAATTAATAATCATAAGAAATTTAAAAGTGCTTTATAAATAAACTGTTTAAATCTCGTATTATACCAAGAGAAAGAAGCACCAAGGCATACAACCTTGAGCCCATACTTATCACTAACCCTCTTCATTAAATCCTTGTCCTAGGAAAGATAAAGGCTTTAACTTCCATTAGGAGAAACTCATATTCATCTTACTTCATCAACTTTATCCATGAAAATTAACATTCAATTAAGACATTTTTCATGCAAAGTAACCAATACAACTGAAGGAATGAATTATTTTACCAAACAAGAAGTTGTTCTACATAATCTAAATTATATACATTGACTCTAAAATTCTATTCTTCGAGATTACTGCAAAATTTAAGTAGAAATGTATATTTGGTCCATAGTAATACAATTCAAAGCAATCCTTTTGGGTCTATACAGGCATAGGAACTACATGTAGAAAGACTTTACCTACTTTCATTCTAAAAATTAATGCCATTATTTTAGACGGAACTAACTGACTAATGGCACTAAAGATAAATACGTAGGGCACTGATAAGTACTTCAGAACTATGTCATTATTTGTATGACAACGACTGGTGTGTCACACAGTCGTAACTCCTTTAGGTAATTCTATTTAGAAACATTCCCTGTATATTTGCCATGCATAGTATACAAAGGCCAACCCTGATGATTCAAATTTGATCCCTGGATCCCACTTGGTGAAAGGAGGAACTAATTACCACAAGGTGTCCTCTGACCTCTAAACACACCAAAACATATGCCCCGACACATGTATCTACAGAATATAAACAAATGTAATAAAGTTTAAAATGTATCATGGAAGTTAGAGATCTCACTTATCTAAAACATAGAGGAAGACGTATTTCCCTATTATTTATGGAAACTTGGCATGCCTAACAACAGCAATCCACTTCAATATACTGACAGCATGCACCAAATAAAATAATTACCAACAACCTTCTTATTATTTCCTTAACAAAAGCCAGTGACCAAGTTATAAATGTAGGATGAATCTGTTTCAAAATATTAAATATTTTTCTAAATGTTTGACTGAGTTAATTCTTCCAGGCACTTCATCCTAGCTACTTTTTTTTCTATAAGTATGTACTCAGGGAAGTTTCAAAACTTCATCTACATGATTTGAGTGGGGCCAATGTTTATTTACATCCATGATTTTTAAGCATTAATTTTAAAGTTCAAAATACTAAAATTCTAGTTTTCTTAAGAGTGCTAGGATTTGTTTGCAAATAACCACCCCCAAACCCTTACACACACACACACACACACACACACACACACACACACAAACACACATAATGCTTCTCTATGTGATACAGAACTGTTAATACTGAAAGTAGAAATCAGAATATCCCAAAGTCAGCTTGATATAATTAGTTGCATGAACTAATTTTCTAGGCCTCATTTTACCATCTTAAGTCCTTATAATTTGTCTAGCTAGCACTCCCTAAATTATGCCAAGTAATAAACTCAGCACACTACCAGATACCCTAATTATCCTATGAAGCTTGAACTTGAAGATTATCTTGTCTACAGCCAGTAAGAGAACTGAAAAAGTCAAATCTTGTAATTGATCTTATGCTATGACCACTAAGAAGTCAGGAAGATTTCCAGCTTCAGAATTCAATTTATTTTCAATCACTGTTTTACAGATTAAAATTTCAGAACAATTAATTTTTATCACCAGCAATCCTAAAAAGTTTTATATGAGAGAAAAAAAAGTAATATATAATTAAAAAACAAGACATCCCAAAAATTCCAATTGGAACATCACAACCATGTATACTATCTGTGTACTGTATAGAAATCTCCTGAATAAATTACATCACTATACTTAATATATTCCTAATTTATTGAAAATGGATATGCTAAGCACTTTATAAGAAGACTCAGTCCAGAAGTCTAAAACTCTAACAGTCAGAAATTCACAATTTTGAGGCCAGATTATTCGAGTTCATAAACAAGTTCTGCAACTGCAATTTAACCTTTCTATGTCTCAACTTCCTCATCCTTAGGATGGTGGTATATTTCAGAATTCTCATGATTTAAGAATTACAAGTGCTTAGACTATTTTGGTTGACTTTAGAAGAGGTAGGAAGAAAAATAGAAGGTGAAGATGAGCGAAATGCATGGTATTATATATGAAATTCTCAAATAATTAATGAACAGTATACTTCCTTAAAAAGAAAAAGAGTATTACGTGGTACATACTAGGCCCTATTGGAAAGTATCAGATGCTATTGCAATTGCTGTAATTTCTATCATTTGCATAAGTATATGACTTGGTCAAGATAACTCCCAATCCACTAAATCTCAGAGGAATGACATAGGAAGCCTTACATGTGAAAAATTAAAATCTAGACTTGAACTCTAAAATTTGAAATTTTAGCATTACTAAAGGGGAGATAGCAGAGTAAATGCTTGAAACTCACCAGCTTCTTTGTACCTCGTTACAAATAGAAGCTCACTAATAATAGCAATATTAAATTAAGAAAACAGAGGCCATAATAAAACCTCCAAAATACTCACAGAATCAACCTAATTGATTAATTTGGTTAACATGGGTTGATTAAATAAGTTAATTGGTTAACATGGTCAATTAAATAATATAGTTAATTGACCATATTAACCATAATAAACTATCCTTTATAATAGTAACTCCTTATTATAAATGATACACTTGAATGCCAAATTCAGGACATATAGATTCATTCAGGGCATGCAAAAGGCCTCTAAACTTGGAAACATGCATACTAACAATAGCTTTTGATAATCTTCTAATGTTAATCCATACATATCAGTTCACTAAATTGTAGCTCATGTGCCAAATCTATTTTTTAACAGTTAAAATTTAGAGTATTTTATAGTCTTAAATCATTTTAAAAAATATATTTTTGTCTCGTGTGAAAATTGCATAAAGCTTAAATTTCTACATCCATAATTTCTAATGTAACAGTAAATTTCAAGTATTTGTATATTTTTCTGAATGGCCTCTACCATATTGGATCTAGCCAAAAGTAAAATGTCTTGTCAACTTAAAATGAATTCCTTATGCACGCCAGTGAAACTTTCATCTAATCATCTGGCAGCCTTACTTTCTCTCTTTGCCCTAAGAAGATGAAGGGAATAAAGTTCTTTCTTCCTAAGCATTATCTTAACAAAAAGGGGGTGGGGGAGGAAGAAGGGACATAAAAGAAAATGAGGAAAGTAAAGTCAGGAAATGAAGTGAATACTTTTCCTGATATTCATAACCAAAACTCTACAAAGAGCTACCAGTTACTTTTGCCTATCACACTCCACTGACTTTTCTTACAAATCAAAGTACAATACATTGATTTCTTAAATAAAAATATGCCTTTTTTATTTAGTTCATAATAAGAATCAAGTGAATCCTCTCAGTGAAAGTGTTCCTCTTCAAACAACAGTTTCCACTTGTTACTTTCTAAGAAGGAACTGGCCAAAAGGATTCTACAGAAACTGATAGGGGCAGATACAGACACCCACCACCAAACCCTGGGAGCTTGAGGAGTCCTGCTGAAGAGTAGAAGAGTAGAAGGAGGACTATAAGAGCAAGATGGGTCAAGGATACCACAACACACAGCCCACAGAATCAACTCAGCAGGACTCATGGGGGTTAACAGAGACTGAAGCCACAATCAGGGAGCCTGAATGAGTCTGACCTAGGTTTTCTTCATATGTTACACTTTTGCAGCTTGGTGTCCTTGTGGGACAACTAGCAGTGGGAATAAGGGATGTCTGACTCTCTTGCCTGCTTTTGAGAACCTTATACTCCTAATGGCTTGCCTTGTCCAGCCTTGATATGAGGGTATGTGCCTAATCTTATTGACATTTATTGTTATGCCAGGTTTGGTTGATATCCATGGGAAGCCTGCTTTTTAATGATGGGAAAGAGGAGGGTAGTGGATCTAAAGAGTGAGGGAAGATAGGAGGAAGGGACTGAGAGAAGTGAAGGAAGTGAGAGAAGTGAAGGGAGAAGAAAATGTGGTCAGGATGTAATATATGAAAGAACTAATTAATGACTAATTGATGTTTTCCACAGATGACAATAAAAGGAGAAATAATTTTCAGTGTTCTCAGTAGCACTAATAACATTATTTGCTGGTTCCTAAGTTAATTTCTGGATAGCTAAATACTTAGGAATAGAAAGTAAATCATAATAAAACTGATAAAGTTATAAGATTATCATAACTGTACACAGATAAGATCAAGGAGATTACATACTAGAATAAAGAATTCCCACATAAGTAGTTCAGCATGGGAATCAAAACCAATGAAATAGCTGCCATGGAAACAAGAAACATAAGCAGAAAAAATCAAAGAGACAACTAAGAATGACTTATTCAAAGTGCCCTTTTTAAAAAATAAGCAGAATAAAAACATTAAGATTTGCTGGGCGGTGGTGGTGTATGCTTTTAATCCTAGCACTTGGGAGGCAGAGACAGGCGGATTTCTGAGTTCGAGGTCAGCCTTGTCCACAGAGTGAGTTCCAGGACAGCCA